TATATATATATATATATATATATTTCGGTTAAGCTATCTGGGGAGGAAGTGTGGGTTTGTAAACAGTGACTATTACGGCTAATAATGCAAAACTCTTCGTTAAAAATTGAGTTCTCTCAGTCACTATGTGTTTATCTAAAAAATAAATACATTTAAATTTACCTTCATTCCTGCCGTGCGCCAACGGATTAGTGATTGAATCTCCGACAGAGACAATTTAGTCGGGTTTCAATCCTAGGTAGAGGCAACCGGACGTCTAGCCACACTGATGAGCTGTAATACAGTGAAACGGTCTGTCTGTGGATGACAATATATATATATATATATATATATATATATATATGCATCATATCTTCATTCAACCATGTTTTATTGATTAATATAGATATATATCTAATTAATTTTTAATGATACTTTCTATTTCTCTAATCCGTTTCTTGTTGTTAAGATGAAATTCTTCAAGGAAGCGGAGTAGTTTTTTCACCAAATACTTTCGATCTCTTCCGTGATCATTCTCAAGGGTGAATTCCAAAGACAAACTTATTGCAACTGTGATCGTTTTAATGGCGATTTCAAAAAATCTTTTATATATATATATATATATATATATATATATATATATACATATATATTAAGCATTCAACCCCAAGCCAGACGGGAAGCCACTAATACGCAAGGGGTTACAGAGAGTTGGAGCGAGAGCAAAGAGGAGTGATAGAGGAAAGGATGAAGAGAAGGTTAGGGGATAGATAAGGACATCTGGAGACGTCGATTGACATTACATTTGAATAGTTGGAGATTATAGCTATCAGGAAAACAAGAAATGGGCAGGGAGTTCCACAAGCGAGAAGTGCGAGATATGAAGCTGTTGAAGTAGAAGAGACGGCTACATTTAACATTTTCGACAGTGAAAGGGTGAGGGCGAGATGCCAGCCTAGCTGATCGCTTAAATTCATGAAGTCTGGGAACCAGCGAAAGTAGCTTATCGGAGCAGTTACCGTGAAAGTATTTGTAAAATGACAGAAGGAGGCAACAGCACGTCTGCAGACGAGATGCCAGATCAGGTCCAATTACATTGCATATCCGTCTCTTGATCTTATCAAGAACCTTGAGACAAATAAATGGGTCTCCAGACTATATATAACAGTAATGCATGCAAGTCCGAATGGTTGATTTGTAGATTTGAAGTATCGACTCCGGCGAGAAAAATTTCCTGGCGCGGCATAGGGAGCCAAATTTCCTAGCGGTGGACGAAACTATTGACTCAATGTATTCGTTCCATCTCAGGTCAGCGGACAATGTGAAACCGAGTAGTCGCAAAGAGGTGCTCTCGTGGTGTTGAGCGTCAGACATTCTAATGGGAGGCAGGGATGGTTCTCTGGTAAGAGAGCAGTTTTGTTTTTGAGGCCTTAAAGTTAACCAGCCTATTCCTGCCCCAGTCCTGTTCATTCACAAATTCCGTGGTGGAACTCATTCAATTTTCATTTACCCATAGGACTGTGCCCCCTAGAGCCACGAATACTATCCCCAAGCAACTGTCCGGGTTTCAATTTTCGGTAGTGGATGTGCACTGCAGATGAGTCTCAAATATAAGACGAAACGGCCGTCCAGTGCTTTCTGCATTCTGTTGAGGTTTCATCTAGACTCGATGAATTACTTAATTACTTCAAATCCTCCTTAATTTTATATATATATATATATATATATATATATATATATATATATATATATATATATATATATATATATATATATATATATATATATATATAGGTAACTGAAGGACAAAATAGAAACAAATCTGTTATGCATTTCGTCCTTCAAAGTACTTCAGACTAAACAAACTTTTATTCATGGATTTATAAATATGTACATAAATGTAACAAATTGGTAGCGAAAGTCACAGTTTAACAAAGAGAAACGCTTAAGATAATCTAATGCTTAATTTTTATTTATTTCTTAATCCTTTCGACCGAAATAAGAAAATACATCCACGGATAGGCAAGGGTTACTGAGCATGAACATATGAGCAGAAACGTCCCAAATATTCTGTAATTCCGAGCACTTTCGGCTATACTTTTAACCTATAAATGATAATTTTGGTTTTACTTTTTAACTGCATCTATGCATTATTTACAAGTTCAAATACACTTTAAGGAACTGTGTTCCTGATCAAACGGAATTCATAAATAATCAGATTGGTCACACTACTACATGCTTATACAACCACAGCACTATCAGAACTCATTTAAACACACACACACAAACCTACCTGACTCAATCTGAAATATGCTAGTAGTAATTACAAGCATAATAAGCTCATCCGTATGTAATAATAAAAAGACAAAAAAAAAAAATAATGGAAGCTTTAATAATAAAAAAGAAAAGCCAAAACTCAATAATATTAACTCTGAACATGGCTACAATGGGCTGACTGTGTTCGGGAAAAAACATCCCTATAACTCTAGATACATACACTCAACCCATACATACAGTTAAAAGGCAAAAATAAAATCAAATAAAATAATGGCTAAAAGTATAGCCGAAATCGCCCAGGTTTACAGAATATTTGGTTTGGTTTGGTTTGTTTTACGCCATATCAACCTCAATGGGTTATTTAATGCCGACAAAATTTTTATTGCTGCCAATATTTTGTTTTGTCAAAAATCTATTTCTGGTAATATTTTTTCATTCAAAAATCTATTTCGGATAATAATAATAGTTTGGTTTGTTTTGTTTTGTGGCACATCAACCTTAACCTTATTTAATGCCGACAAGATTTTTATTTCTGGTAATATTTTCTTTTTTCAAATATTTATTGCTGTTAATAATTTTTTTTAAGTATTTCTGATATTAAAGTCAATTTTTACACTTTCACAGTGTTTTGCATCAGGCTGTGGGAGCCAACTATTTACCATAGTTGGCACCCAAACAGGTGCTACCACCCGGGTCAGGGTGAGCCTGGGAACACCAATAATGAGGGGTGGTTACACGCTTCTCAAAACTTCCTGATTAGAGGCCTTGTTGTTGGACATAGTTTATCGACTTACCCAGGATGCGGATGTAGTTTATCGTCATACCCAAGACGACAGAAGATGTGGACAGTTTCTTTTTATCAAACATGTTGTAGTGTGGCCTATATAATTGTTTACGAATTTTGATTGATCTGGAATACAATTCCTTCATGGGCATTTATTTACGAATTTAAATGTCTATTAAGGAATTGTATTCCTGATCAATCAAAATATGTAAACAATGTATCTCTATCTATAAAAGGCAGGGTGGGTGTGTGTGTGTGTGTGTGTGTGTAACGAATGCACGGCCGCAAATTTCGATGGATTTGCACCAAAATTTACATGCACATGCTCCAAGTTAGCAGGAAGGGCAAGACCGATTTTGCATTTCCCAACTCCCATCGATAGTGGAAATAATCGATTTTTCATGCTTCTACGATGTAGTTTGAGGCCATTTTCTACTGGCCAGAGTGAGAGCATATAGCTGGCTGCCACGAATAGGCAGGAAGATTCTATTGGCCAGCGTGAGAGCCAACAGCTGACTGACACGAATGTTAACTAGCATTCTAGCATGCAAAAAAAAAATCGATAGCGGCATTCGTCACAAGTGGGAAAAATTTAAATCTGCATGGCACTTTACTCCAATTGGCTCATTCGCTTGCTTAAACTCAACGTTGATTCTGATTCCGCAGAACTGGGTTTGGTGTTGAAAAGTATTTGTTGTTAACATACTTTTTTTCATCCGGTTTTTTCCAGTTACGAGACCTTTTTTTAAAGCTGATCGTTTTGTGTTCATTTTGTTTAATTCTTTATTCGTAACAGATTTAATGTTTAGTATAGAGCTTAGAAAAAATTCGCAGTGTGAGTTAGGCAAGAAGTAAGGCATGTAGCAACATCAGCACGGCGAAAGTCACTCCTTTAAAGGCAAGGAAGGGCCAAAATATTTTAAGTCAAGTGATAGCGATTGCTGTATGTGTCGTACGATTTTTGAATCAAGCACGGGCAACGCCCAATATGCTAGTATATATATATATATATATATATATATATATATATATATATGTGTGTGTGTGTGTGTGTGTGTCTGTGTGTGCGGGGTGTATATTACATTATATTAAGAAAAGGATGTGCGGGAAGAGTAACGGCTATCGTTTCGGAAAACTGGATTGGGAGCCGAGATCATATATCGGGCTTGTCATGTGCGTTCACTTTTACACAAATGTCAATGAGAAAGGCATGAAAATGTATCTTCTCCCTTCACTCCAGCGATGGGTTAAATGCCGGGGCAGAGTTTTCTCTATTGACAACGATTTTAAAAGAATGAAAATCCCACAGGAAAATTAAAACCGTCACAGGAAAATAATTCACTAAATTTATTAACAATACATGGTATTTCATAGATACTAAATAAAAATAATCTTTAGAGAGTCGTAATTATGAGTTGCCTCGGCGTATAAAAATATTAGAAAGAAATCTTAAACTTTTAATTGTGTATCCGTAAAAATAAAGCAAATGTTTATTTGCAAATATAATGCTCAGTTTATTGTGGTATAAAGAGAAAACATTCCGCAAAAGAAAATTATTCATTTCTTACATAATACTACCTTTTCTTTGGATGACATCAAAGAATCCTGAAAGATAGACCATATTCTCTCGAGAAAGATTCTTCTTAGGGACGCAGATATTTATCTACAACAGTCTGTCCTTGTTTTCTAACGCCAGTACTAGACGGCCATGCGTGTTGCAGCTCTCCGTGTATGAGTAAGATCCACTTTACAGACTAACTCACTGGAAGGAGATACAATGGCGGATAACAGATTTCAAGGCTGGAGACAACTGGTGTCGAAAAAGGAAACAGGTGGACCTTGGAAACAGATCGTTGGCTGGCTTGCAATCACGTGATGAGAGATGCGTGTGTGTTCGCTTGGACTGTAAAGATTTTCTTACTTGATTATCGTCAAAACAATCTGACCCCCCTTCTTGTTTTCACAGTAGGAAGCCATGTTGGAGAGACTCCATCACAACAGTCTCTTGTTGCCAAAGGGTCAGACTAGAATCTGAAATAAAGAAAAAGAAATGAAAAATAAAGGGAAATTTGAGTGGGTAGAATGGATGTCGGGGAAGGGATAAGTAACTATTGATGTTGGAAATGCAAGCTGGCCCCAGGTTGAGGATGAGAATAGATAGATAGATAGATAGATAGATAGATAGATAGATAGATAGATAGATAGATAGAAAAAGCGTGATATCAATACATTCAATAGATATGGCTAGATAGATACGAACACACATACACACACACACACACATATATATATATATATATATATATATATATATATATATTAGAGAGTTGGGAAAGAGGGATATGAATGACCTAGTGATACGAATAGATTGAACAAGATGAATAAGATCAGATTAAGATAGATAGATAGTAAAAGCGTAATATGAATATATATGAACAAAATATATATATATATATATATATATATATATATATATATATATATACGAACAAATATATATATATATATACGAACAAATATATATATATATATGTGTGTGTGTGTGTGTGTTCGTCTCGATCTAGCCATATCTATTCATATCACACTTTTTCTTTTCTATCTATATATCTATCCATCTTTTCCAATCAATTCATATCACTTGTCATTCAAATACCTCTCCCCACTCTCTAATATATATATATATATGTGTGTGTGTGTGAGTGTGTGTGTGTTTGTGTCCGCGTGTTCCTATCTATTTAGCCATTTATATATATATATATATATATATATATATATATATATATATATATATATTAGAGAGAGATAAATAGGATCAAACTAAGATAGATAGACAGATTGATTGATATCAACAGATTTATAGAGATAGATAAGAACAGACTTACATTCACACACACAAACATATATATACGTGTGTGTGTTTGTATATATAGATATGAAAGGCTAAGTGATATGAATAGGTTGATACGAAAATAGATAGATAGATAGATAGATAGATAGATAGATAGATAGATAGATAGATAGATAGATAGAAAAATTGATTGATTGCTTATACATAAATTCCATGGGATTGTTTAAAAATGTATATTTAAAAAAATATAGGAAAATCGAGAAGCATAAATAAATAAAGAATTGGTGAAATTGAGATTCATAAAACAAGAAGAAAGGACAGAGGAGATTGAGGAAAATGTCAAAGCGAGAAAGAGCAAATATTGATTACAAAAAAGAGCAGAGAAATGTCAAAATTTATAATGAAGAGGAATACAGATTCTGGAGGTTTTACTATCTTTAAACAATTCCCAAAACAGTAGGGCTTGTTGGGATATTAATAGAAAAGCTCTCAGCCTTAGAGATCCTAAAAGTAATAAACGAAAGTATACGACAGTGGTGACTTACCGGAAGTCCTCAGTAAATACGTCTTCCATTCACTGTCTATGATAAAGGGTGTAAATTAATGCGATCTCTCTCGGACAGTAAGCTTAATGAGCCACGTATGCAAGCTAATGATATGAATTCTGATGTATAGTTCGGGAAGCAGATTTGAACCCGAAATAAAAACAAAAACATTGCGTTTTTTTTTTTCAAAAACACTAGTACAAGAAATATGATATTTATTATTAGAATTGAGAGAACAATACAGAGGGAGCTGTACTAATGCAGATATATGTGCACTTATGTTTTATACATTCCAAGCCACGCTAATAGCTTTCTAGGGAAATGTAGGATTTCTCGGTTTCATTTGCATTGGTTTTGATAAAATATTTCCCAGCTGCTTAGCACAATATGGCAACCCAATTGTGAGAGTTTCATTATTAATTGTAAGTTACTTTTTCTTTTATTTCAGATTCGACAGCTTTTCAATGAAAATAGCCCATCTAGACATTTTTTGAAGAAAATGAAGGATGTTGATAAATATTAAGCACACCTTGAGTATATATTTAGCAAAAAATTATATTAATATCACAAAATTTGTTGACATGATGAATTATTTGGCTACATGAGCAGCATTTCGAAGGATAAGTTCAAAAACCCTATTAATCATGTAATCTGTCAAAACTTTATCGTAACAGTTTGAACTGCTTCTGCTGCAGCTTTGATGGTCGCCTATAAGGTATATTTTGACTTAAATTGGCGTCCATCGGCAGAAACATCTTATTTAAGGATAGACCAAACATTTTCGATAGGGTTGAGATCCGGAGAGGCAGGCGGACTCACCATTAACCTTTTACCTTGTATACCGTAAGAGCCTAAAATCACTTTGATGACCCTGGAAGAGTCGGGAGAGAGTGATGTTATGTATGAATACTAGAGTCCTTTGAAGTGACAGTGGTATTACTTCTAGTCATAGATCTAAGTCCTCCTTTAGGAGATTGCAATTGGCGACTGCGAACACTCTAAAGACTTAAGGCATCATGATTGTCCTGTATGAATACTAGAGTCCTTTGAAGTGACAGCGGTATTTT